ACATATATATATATATATATGTGTTTGAATGTATGTATGTATTATGTGTACTTGTATACATATATGTATATATATATATATATATACATTCAGACATACATAAATACATGCATACATACATATATGTATACAAGTACACATAATACATACATACATACATTCAAACATATCTAGTTAAGTATCGTATTTAATCTATGGCTCACAGAACTTTTCACCTTCCAAATTATTTTTTGCTTATCAGTGGAGAGTAAAGGAACGTCAGGCAAAAGGGAACATATAACGCCAGGAGGTGTCAAAATGTGTTACTTCCATCCCAGAGACTTTCCGAACGGCGGAATCTACTTTCTTGCGAATGCTAGGTATAGGCGAGTCTTTGGTGATGACGCTCCCGTGGTGCTACATGCCAACTATATGAAGGTATTGGTCCCACTTACGGCTTTTGCATACCTATTTGCACGTGTCTAAATAAGTTTGGGCACGTCTTTCTTGTAGCTTATTCTTAGATATCTATGTAGGAGGCTTGCAGGGAATGTATTTGGTTGGAAGACTGCTTTAATCTTTGTAGCAAAATTGTTCAGGGTTGTTCTCGCGGCATTCACCCCATAGGATATTGTACGCTACATCTGATGAGGCCACCAACTACTACTGCGATACAACCATGCATGTTCATCTCTATATTTAGTTATGTGAATCTCATTCGTAAACGTTCGCAAGCGCATGACTTTGAAACTAGCGAGTGTGAATATACAGGCGCACGTCAGACAACAAGCGTTCACAACCCGACGCAAAAACATAGAATGGCCAATATTCATCGGTTATCTGACAAGCATTACAGTAGGCCCACCACAATCTTGTCCAAATCGTGTACAATTGAATATAAAGATATGTAGTTCGGTGCAAAACGTCTTTGTCTTTAGAGTTTGGTGCTACAAGGACAAACTACAATTAGCTGACATTCGGAAACAGAAATTCTATCTCATCAATATCCAAAACCGTCTAAATATACAGAATGAATAAAAACTGGGAAAGATATGTTAAAATACTTGTTTCCATCCCTTACAGTCCAAATTCTACCGCAAGATCGAGGCGTTCCAGACAGTCGGTGCATGGTTTATGGACGATGATCTGAAGTGTACAGAAAAGCAAGCACAGCCCAATGGCAAGGCGATTGATGCGAAAGAGCTGACTAAAAAGCTCGATGAGGGCTGATCCAAGCGCTAACTATGAAATATAAACAATATAAATTTGAACACATACGAAAACGTGCGACTAACTCATATTTCATAGCCTCATAGCCGTGCCGTATAAAGTATAGCGAAATCGGGTTCACTGACTATTTCATATTTCATAGCCATGCCGTATAAATGTAAAACGGAATTGGGTTCACAGACGATACGGTGCATGCACAGCTCAAGGGCGGTATGAAAAAGTTTGTACATAGTTGTTGTAAGTACTTATTATATGCATATAGTATGAATTAACTATGAATGTGTTGTCGGACAATATGCCATCTGTATTACTCAGATACATGTTCAGAAATCACAATGTTTATTAGTTACTATGCAAGTCAGACATGGCAAATAAATGTTTATGATTGGATTAAAGTTAAATGATGCCCTGCTCAAGAATATATTTGAAGCCAGGAGTGTAATTCTGACACCTTCATGAATGAATATCGATTTATTAGGAGAGCCTTCACTGCCTGGTGGAAGTGTATGTTTTAAAAATCAAGTTTCCAACAAATGCTATACAGAGGAAGGTATACCGATACAACGATATGTTGGGGGAGATATCAAAATAGAGCGATCATGCGATTGCAAAATTCCCCCTGTCAAGTCTTTATTTTTTTTTAATGTTTCACTGTTTATTTACTGCTCCTGCAGTATAATATTTTCATGCGTTAACGTGTACTTTTTTTTGCGAAGTATAGGACGTTGTCGTTCTTCTTCCCTGGTTTAAGGTTCCCTATTCGGATTTCTTTGATAGTGCCGTGGTTTGCCGTGGTTTGACCTCTTGTTCGGTCCATACGGTGGTTTGGTGTTCAATGCTTGTTCGGATCAATTTATGGCAGACTAGCGACGGTCCTCTAGTGATTGCAAATATTCACTCTTACGCCTATAGTCCTGGACAACTAGGGACTCACTTATATTAGTTTAGTTTCCCGTTGGATAACATAATTCATTCATCCTCCCTGTCGCATGTCATTGTCGGGACATGATTAAAGAAGGCTTGATGGATTTACGGATGTAGAAGTACCTGAATCCATCGTACTCGGTATCCGACTGCAGATCATCCGAGTCTTCCACTATCTGCGCTTCTATATCCCCATTTAAATCCACATCCATATCCATACCCGCATCCATGTCGTGGGATGAACCCGCATCTGAACGTTGGGGTATATCTCCATTGTTGCCGTCAATAGCAGTCAATGGGCTTATTGGCGTAGCAACCACCTCAACGTCATCCAAATCCCCGGCGCCTTCATCCACCTCTACGTCCGACCCTAAGTCGTCGTCTAGATCTTCAACACCACTGTCACTTTCCTCATCCGCATTCTGCAAACACATACTGCCGTATGCACAGTCTATAGGATTATTACTAATAATCACCGAACTCGCCATATTTGTGGTAGCACACGATGTACGGTCTCCTTGATAGAGGGCCACTCCAGGATCCAAGTCAGGTTTATAGACCCTGCTCTTGCTGTGTATCCTGAGTTCATAGTTGTTCGGCTCCTCTATGCCCATATGTACCGGTGTATTGGGTTCGTCGCAGCTACCAAATATCCTTGAAGTTGATATTCCGCGATGTTCACTGCTTGTTGAACTCCGATGGGAATATTTACCCCCCCTTGTGGTAGGTATTTTCGTATCAAACAATGCCGATCTATACATATCCCTAGAGCTATCATTTTCATCTTCCACAACCTCAGTCCGCATATACTCCGCCATCGTATCCCTGATCTGTATTCTTAATCTTTGGGCCTCAGACTCGAGCTCTTCTATATATTCATTGCCCGCATCTAATCTACTTTGCACTAACGTATTCTCGCTTGTGAAGAATTCGGTCGCATCTTTGAGGTACTTCTCGTATGCTTTCTTACGGTTTCTGATCTTCTGTGCTGCTTGCTTGTTTTGTTCAGGCCGTGCTTTAGTACCCTTTTGCGCACGCTTAGCCTGGCGACAGATTAACTCGTCAGGCATGGGCAAACCTGGTATCACAGGTGGGTTAGTTTCGTTGAAGTCAATGTTTTCGGTTCTATGCGCAGCCACCATTTTGTGTATTTGAGTGAAACTTCACACAATAAGTATATACAATACCAAGAATAGGTTAGTATTAATTGTGGGTTGGTGATGCAAATGCGTTCTGTATATATTTCTGGATATACTATATTCTTTGGTGCACCGAAATGATATTCCTATGAATGTTTCTTGAAGCCATTTATTTGAGGGCGAGGGGGTTTTCAGCAAAAAACCCACACCACAAATTCAAAAACTCAAAAAATGAAAAATGCTTGCGCAAAATCCTGACTTTCTGTCGATCGAACCAATAGGATCTATCCAATGAATGTTTTTTACTAAAAAAAGTTTCCCTACATTTCCTCAATTACTTCGAATAAATATCAGGTCATTAGGGGTTGCAGCCAAAAAAAAGGGAAAACGTATCACAAGCGCTATGACGTCAAGCTTCGTATATTCGCGAACTAGGTATTTAGTTTGCACTAGTCGGTGAGTCATGGAAATATATATTTATTTTGATTGGCGTATTTTGGTGTACGCTTTTTGCTTATTCTTGTAACCAATGAAATTGTTTGCAGGGACTTCGTATTTTCAGCTTTCAACTTTTCAAAAGTCAAAAAACGGTCGGTCGGGCCGGGCTTGTTAAATTTAGACTACAATATACGAGTGCTGAACTGATTCTGCACTGCAGACTTGCTGAAGGCCTGAAGCCTGGCCCTGAACTTCTGAACGCTGCTTTACAATAAGTACGTTTTGCATTGATACGTATTTGTTTCATTTGTTTTTTGGGGTACTATAAAATATACCGAGACCTGAGCGCAGAGCTCAATGCGTTAAAAGTTGCAACTTTTATTTTGCCTCGAATAAACATTAGTTGTAACTTTTATATTTAAATAGTACCCTTTCATATATGTTAGGTGCTTTTGTCAGGTCACTCCGTTCTGCAGAAATTGTCCGAATTTTTGGCGCGCCCGCCATCTTTTTTTTCTTGTCAGTTGCCACTTGTGTCAAGTTGTCATTTGTCACAAGTTGTCAGTTACAGAAACACAATAAATTTTTAAAAAATAAATAAATATCAGAGGACATGAATTCTTTCAATATCTCACTAATCCTGGACTCAGCACATATCTTCCATTGTCGACTCACTTGGCTCAAGCTTCAAACAGGAATTTACTGACCACTTCTTCCCATAAATCTTTCCTGAACCACTACAGCGACTATGAGAGCCAAACCATATGTTCATACATTGTATCATACATACTTGCCATTTTTGAAATAAATAATATTATCCCTATTAAGAGTACGTTTAGGAAACTTAAGTTCCTCGTACTATTAAGAGTACGCGTTTAGGAATTTGAGTTCCTCATACCATTAAGAGTAGGTTTGGGAATTTGCGTACTGCTTAAGAGTACGTTTATAACATAGAGTCTAATGTGAAGGCCCGGCTTATAACAAGAGGACTGGGAGGGATTCTATATCAAGAAAACCAAGACTAACAAAGCATCACTTACTTGGAAGTATAGAGGTTCGGTTCTGGAAACTAAGGGGCAAGTCCATATGATAGATTGTATTGCTTGGTACAAATGTGAGATGTATACAGCCCGACTGAGTCCATTAAAGGACGATGGAAACATTGAGAGATCAAACATAGAAAATCTCGTAAAAATGAGAATTAATGCAGGCTTATGGAGATCAATTTGGGCAGCATGCGGACGGTAATAATGGGGGTGGAGGGGATTCTGCAGATGTAGGTAACGCAATAGGTGAACATGACGCAATAAGCGAACATGACGCAATAGGTGAACATGACGCAATAGGTGAACATGACGCAATAGATGAACATGACGCAACAGGTGAACATGATAATGTAGGCGAACATGACAATGATGTAGGTCAAGATGAAGAGTCAGTAACACTCGATGACACACCTACTATGCGAGCACTACCAACTACGAAAATATGCACCGCACCCGCCGGACCACAGACAACAACCAACATACACACTGCACCCGTCAAACCACAGACAACATCCAACATACCTACTGCACCCGTTGAACCACAGACAACAACCAACATACATACCATACCCGACGACCCGCAGGTACTGCCGGGTCCGCCAGTGTATAATAGGACCAAGCATTACTTACCAATTGGTGTATCTGATACTTACAATTCTCCACATTCAATACCTCTACCGTATGACAATGGGCTGGATACATTCAAAAGCATACCACAATACCAACATGTGTTTGCTCCACAGTACGCAACAAATCATCAGCAAACAGCACCCTACATCCCACATCCAATGGGATCGCAGTTTGTTCGGCAATGATCTCAATACATAACTAACAACAATAATATACACAATCAGTATGGTGGGCAGGAAGCCTATGACTACACTCAGCAGAGACACGATAGATATTAAAGATGTAAATCAGACAATTTGAAAACTTGTAAATATGAAAAAAAAACATGTGTATATTAAAAACGAGTTCAATAAATTTACGTTTATATCTTCTTATGCTACAAATACATACTCTATATATATATATACATATATATATATATATATATATATAAATATATATAGATAAATATAGATATATATATATAGATATAGATATATACAGAGATATATATATGTATATATATATATATATACATAGAGATATAGATATATATTTATCTATATATATATTTATATAAATATACATACATATATATATATATATATATATACATACATACATACATATATCTATATATATATATATATACATATAAACACACACACATATTTATATATATACGAATATACATATATACAAACATACATACATACATGTATACATTTCTTCATATATACACATAAAACATATACATATATACAAATATACATATATACATAAGTACATACATACATATATACATATATACATATATACAAATTTATCACACACACACACACACACACACACACATATATATATACATATATACTTATATACATATATACATGTATACATAATACATAAATACATATTCACACATATATATATGTA